TGCTCGCAAAGTGCAGAGTACATGGGGAAACCGACTTCAAGTAACCATCCCAAGGGCTTGTGGAGATCAGGGCTCGGTACAGTCGAGCCTCTGTGGCCGGTAGCAGCATCACACCCACCCGGGGGTGCTGGCTGGTCCAGGACACCTGGACTCTGTTCCGAGAAGCACCATGGACCTGCTCCCTGACCTTCACCAATCACTTCCCTGTTCTGGGCTGCTATTTTTTCCTCTTCTTCCCCTCTTTTGTCTTGCCCCGTTTAATTGTAACCTCTTTCGGGCAGGAACACTGTGTGTGTATAAAGGGCCTAGAACAATGTGCCCCAGATGGTATTGTACAAGTCCTTCCTCGGCAGACGCGGTTTCACTATACAGGAAAGAAATCTTTAAATGTACAACTTTTCAGCATTTTATACTTGCAAAAGTGGCCAGGAACTTCCCGAGCCTTGATATTTCAGTCCAAGTCACAGGTCTCGGAGACAAGGGCTAGCACTAGAATCACAGCTTTTTCTTCCTTTAAAAAAAAAAAAAAATCCAAAACAACCCCCACCCCCAATCCCTTTCTCTTACCCTCATGACTGCAGGGAAAAGCTTGTAAACGTGACTGGAGCAGACCTGGCATGCTCAAAACCAGATGGCAAATAAAAAGAACCCAATATTTCAACAAAAATAACATGAACACCTTCTTTGGGTTTCAGATGATCGCTGGAGTGTGTTTTTGCCCCCTTTATGGTACTTTCAGTGTTTTTGTGGTTCTGTTTTGGGGAGGTGCTGAAGTCACTTGCACTTGTCTGCAGTTTATTTCACTTTCAGGTTCCCTGGCTTGGAGCACTTGCATTGCAAACGCTGCAGGGCAGTACTTATTTGTTTTAAGACCACAGCTTGCTTTGGAATTTCTTCTACCAAACTGCAGGCCAATTTATTTTTTTTCTTATTCATCCCCCTCCCTCCCCTTCCCCCCAATGAGAGAAAGAAGTTTTCTTAGTCTCGTCTTGCATCAGATTTGATACCAGGCCAACAAATCCAGCCTAGAAGGTGCTTTTCTGAGGCTGCTTGCCTCGATGTGACCTTCTGGGTGAGGATGCCTGTTCAAAATGCAACAACGTGCTGTCGGTTTTATCAGGGGCATCTTCCCCATGGTGCTGCTACCCTGGGGTAGCAGGATGGGGCAGGTCTGGGTCCCTGTTGCCCATCCAGAGGCTGCTCTGTTTTAACAAACACAGGTTTTGCAGGGCTGTTCGCTCCAGAGCAGTGGGAGTCCTGGGACTTTACCAAAGGTTTCTGTTTCTAATTAGGTTGTTCTCAACTTTAAAGGCCAGAGATCTCTTTATGGCACAGAGTGGAAAACCTGACCAGTCACTGACACCGCACAGAGAGGTGGGTCCTGCTTTTGTACCGAGGTACAGAGAGCCATTGGCCTTTCCTTGGCGCTCTTTGGATGCGAAAATAGATTCCTCCCAGCCCTCGGCTCCCCGTGGCTCATCCACGGGGGAGGCTGGTGGGCAGAGAGTTTGGAGGAGCATCACTTGCCCTGGCCTGACTCACACAGACGCGGTTCAGTGACTTCCTGCTGCTCTGACTGCCCGGCTTTGGGAACGGGGGAATTGCAGCGTGGCAGCCGGCTGGCACGCAGCCCCGGCGCAGGGGTCGATGCCGCGGCCTTGCTGGTCATTGCCCTGGCCCAGCTGCCTGAAATCGGGGTTTGGAGCCGTGCTCTTTCAGGAGGGCTGCTCCCGAGGCTGGGGCTTGCTGCGCAGGCAGGGCTGGAGAGTCACGCTACGCTGCTGCCTGCGTTTGTCTGGGCCAGGGGAAGACAGCACAGTCTCCCAGTGCTCGCAGGAAGCGGTATTTATTTTTTCCCTTCTGTTAGGGCTCTGTCTCGCTCCATTGTCTGAAATTCCCTTGCAGAGACTGGCCCATAACTCTTTAAAAAACAATAATCCCAAGCGCGGGGCTGGAGCTCCCTCGGCTCTGGCTGTTGGCTGCCTGACTGTGCAAACAGTCTGGGCCTGAAATCCCCCGGGACTGAACATAAAGGTCTGATTCAAAACGAAAACGGGGTATGAAGCAGCATGGCCTGCGCATCGCTGGCTGCCTCCCCTTCCCTGGTGTGTGGCAGGAGCCACATCCGGGCAAGGTGGCTCCCGAAATGCCCCAGGAGGGCCGTGCCGCACCGCCTGCTCCAGGAGCCGGGAGGTCACAGGGGACATAGCTCCCCAGAGTCCTTGTGCGAGGCCGGCAGAGGTGGGAGAAGCGTGAGACGGGCGGGAGGGCACCGCCATGCGCCGAACCTCGGGCGGAAATTATCGGGGGAGCAAAGAATGAGCAGGATATCACGTGTCGGCCGTGTGCACTCGGGGCTGGGGGAGAACAAAGCGCAGGGAAGCCCTGCTCCGCTGCCGCTCCCACCCCGCTTCCTGCTGGCACAGGACCGAGACCGCTGGCTGCCAGGGGAAGGGAGCGTCAGGGCAGGAGCCGGCCTGCAGCTGCCCGCCTTTGGGGAAGCTGGAAGGCTCTGCGTGCCTCAGTTTCCCTTGGCTGAGATGTGCTGGGTGCAGCAGGATGGTCCCCAGGTGTTGGCCTGCTGGGGGTGGCCTTGGAGGGCCAGGCTGCTCTGTGCTGGGGCTGCTGTGCTCTGGGGATGCTCCGGAGGTGTTGGTCTGGAGGATGGAGCCTGCAGGGGAAGGAGGGGGCTCCCATCCCACGTGAAGCTTTGTTCCCCCGTACTTGAACAGGCAGGCCGCACAGATGGGCGTCATGCACTCGCAACAGCCTCGAACAGCTGGGCCAGCACCCTGCACCTTCGGTGCCTGCAGCTCCGGTCCCTCCTGGAGAGCAGCGGCATCTTGCCAGGATGCTGTGGACAGGGTGTGGTGGGCCCTGGCAAGGATTCGGTGTCAGGCGAGGACTGGGAGCGGGGCAGCCCCAGGGAGCAGCTCCCCTGCCCACGGACCCTTACACGGCCTGTCCTTCCCCCATGCTGAGCTCTGGCTTGGGTGTCTTTTTCCCCTCTGTCGCTCTTAGACCCTCCCCCATTTCCCCCCATGCACCCTTTAGCACAAGAAGCCTTTTTTTGTTATTAATAGCTATTGAGAGCCAATAAAAAGTTTTACAGGGTTTGGCCAAGTGTCAGGAATTGCAGTGTGCTCATTTCCTGGAGTCTGAGCACTGGAGGGGTGTGGGTTTGCTTGTTTAACCCACAGGTAATGAGGCCGTGGCAGCAAGGGCTCTCGGTGGGCGTCACAGGAGCCCGGAGAGGAGCTGAGGAAGGTGGTGAGAGGGGGAGCGGGGGCGGGCAGGGAAGGGTGGGGGCTGCCTCCCAGCTCGGGCTTGCTCGAAATGCAGCAAGGGCTGAGCTGGGAGCAAAACCAGAGGTGATGAATGCTGGGGGGAAAGCGGAGCGTGCGTGCATGTGTCAGTCTCTCTGTCACTCACGTGGCCTCCCAGTGTGCACCCGGCTCCTGCTTGACCCTCTGTGCTTTCCAGCCTGTGTTTAGCTTCCTGGCTGTCCTGTTCCTGACACGCTCTGGCTGCCTCCTGCACGGGCATCCCTGTGAGGAGGGACCGAGCCTGACCTCCCCCCAGGCACCTCCAGTGGGAGTCCTGGATGGAGAGCATGGCTCCCTCTTGGGAACCTGGTTCCTTGAGCACGGAGCTGGTCAATGGTACTGGTCATCCCACTCCTCTGGAAGGGAGTGAGGGGCTAATTTGGCCTTGATGTTGGGCTGTACCCGTGCGAACACGGTCAGCTGCATGGGGGGGCTTGTGCGGAGCCGATGTCATAGAATCAAAGAATCATAGAATAGTTTGGGTTGGAAGGGAACTTTAAAGGTAATCTAATTCAACCCCCCTGCAATGAGCAGGGGTGTGCACATGGGAAGGAGCTCCCTGGTTCGAGGGGCTGAGTCAAGTCCTGCCTGTTTGTGGAGGCCAAGGGGAGCCCCTAGTTACCCCCCTGCCAGCATAGGGCTTTCCCTCAGCCTCACTGGGAAGTGCTGGGAGCTGTGCACATGAGGTGGGCAAGGTGCTGCACGACCATTGAGCAAACAAGCGTTCACGGCCATCAGTTACTCAGCGAGTGTCACAGCAGTTTTTGCCCAGGCTGCAGCCAGCAGCCCTGTTGGCCACTGTGCCTCGCTTCGAGCTTTGCAATTAAGATTAAGGTTGGTTTGCGAGAGCGGAGGAAGAGGCGGCAGTCAGGAGCTCGCTGTGGAGGCAAGCAGGGTGTTAGTAAGTCCTGGGTTCCTGTTTGCCAGTGTCTGTTTCACCCCAGCCTGGCAGGCCTGGGGGGGGCTATCGTGGGAGCCCTGAGCGTGGTCATTGCCCACGCACGCACAGCTGCTTAGAAACAGTGTCCTCTCCTACGCGTCCTGGCGCAGGATCGCTGGCACAAAGGTCCCGGCCCAGCCGCAGCGGAGGCTGGTGCTAGGGGGAAGCGCCCTGACTCAGCTGGCCACAGCCTCTGGACCCGCAGGGACCCTCCTGGCAAGCAGCCGCCTGGGGAGAATATCCTCTTTTCACTTCGTAGGAAATTGCATGCCTGGCGTGGTTTGCCCCGTAACGCAGTGGTTTACGTGTGTCCTCTGCTCTTGGGGTTTCTTGGGTCTGACCAGCAGCAGCCTGGCCCCGAGCGCCTCGGCTGGTGCCTCCAAAGGTCTCCCTGCTGCCAGCAGCCCTTCCCCATGGGGACGTTCTCCCCATGTGACTCCGCTGGCTCTGACCTGGAGATGCTCTTCAAGCATTTCACCTCCTGCCATGGCCAGACTTTTATTTATCTGTTTATGCGAGCATCTTAGATGTGGGGCACCCTGCGACGCTCCTGATACCCCAGCTTCACCCACCCCTCAGTTGTGGCACCCTTCATCGTTGTGGGAGTTATCTGTAACGCAGGGAAGGTGTTGGAGGGGCTCTGCGGAGCTGGGGGCAGGAGCCTGGAGCCCGCAACCCCCTGTTGTCCTCTGCCCCCTGTTTCCTCGTGCTAATTTTCTCCCTCTCCTTTCTGCAGCTGGGAGACCGAGGAGCCACGCTGGGAGGACCCTCTCCGCAGGATGTTCTCTCCACCAAAGAACTCCCTGTAACAGGCGATGATGACAATCGCAGCGGGACCTTGGAAAGCACTAACATTTCAGTAGCCCAGCACCTGTGGGTGGCCACTTATCCCTCCTTCTCCACGCCCCGCCCTCTCATCGCTCACCGTGATGGTGTATTAACCAAGAAGAGCCCTGCTTCTTTCCTCCTCACCCCTCAACTTCCGGCAGCTCTGGGATTTGTATGGCAGCAGCGTAACCGTGGAGAGGCCGGGGTATCACAAACTTATGGATTTTGATAAGAGAGGAGGGAAAGGGGAGCTGGAGGAAGGTAAAAGGATGTCCAAGACAGGTGGAGGAAGGAGCAGTCATGGAAGCCGGAGTGCTGGAACCAACTCGGGAGTCTTAATGGTGGGTCCCAACTTCCGGGTCGGCAAGAAGATTGGATGCGGCAATTTTGGGGAGCTCCGTCTAGGTGAGAAGGGTCTTCTTCTGTCCTCGCTATAACTGCTTGTGCAGGGATTGCCCTGGCATCCACCTCCTGCAGCAGGAGGGGCTGGCACATGCCTGTGACCGTCAGCACCAAGGGTGTTGACCGGCCGTGCAGTGTTGAAGCATCGCACGTTGCAGGTAGCCCTTGCTTCCTTTGCAGAATTTCCTTTTCCTCAGCCCCTTCACACTGTGCTTGATCTTTCAAAGCCCATCGCAGCCCGAAGGACTGATCGCAGAGCTGTTTCCCATCTCCTTCCCATACCTATCACTCTTCGGGTTTGTCAGGGAGAGTGTTACAGTTCAGTCCTGTCTGTTGGAAGTGGTCGTGGCCCACGCAGGCCTGGGTGTGTCCCCCAGTCCAGGAACACTTAGTGAGTAATGTTTCACGAGATGCCGCTGTGTGCTCACCAGGTCTTGCCCCACTTGTGCACAGGGTGCTGCCCTCCCGCTGCGCCATGTGCCTCAGGAGAGCTGGTGGAGTGGGTGCCTGTGGGTGTTCGCTCTGCTGGCGCGAGCATCTGGGGAAGAGTCGGTATTTTATCCCAGGTAAATTCTCCGGTTGTTGAAGCTGGTTGTTTCAGAGACTCTCCTAAAATTTTATGCAGGGGAGAGAGAAAGGGCTGAATAAAACCCAAGCACCTTCCATGGTCACTTTCCATTTTGAATCAAGTTTATCAGGAAATGGTTCAAGCAAACTCTTGTTTAGAGGGTGGGGAGGTTGGTCCTCCCCCAGGGACTCGGCATGCCCCAGGAGGCTTTCAGCAAGCTGTTAACTCTTTGGTTGGCATCAGGCAGCTGGGAGAGGCCTGGCAGTACCAGGGACTGTTGTGCCAGCAGCGCAGTCTGGATATCTCCAGGAATGCGCGTTGGACATGTTGATGGAGTCTCTGCCAGGCGGAGCGTTGGCCTTGGCTGCGAGTGCTTTGGGAAAGGGCTTGTGGCCTAGGAAGAGGGAAGAGAGCTGGTCCCCGGAGCAGGCTGGGAGCCTGTGACAGCCGTAGGCCTTGTTGCTCCGTGATATTTTAAGCAGTGCCTTTTCAAACCAAGCTCTGAACTAAACCTGCAGCAAATGTGGTCGTCTCGGCAGGCTGTTTGTGTACAAAAGGAGCAGGAGGTGGGAGGCTGTTGGGAGGTGCCGCCGGCAGCCCCGGCTCAGGCACCCGCGCGGAGGGTGGGGTGAGTTTATCCACCTCGCTGTGCCGCCTCTGTCTGTGGGGAGTTAATGTTAGCTCTTCCCAGTGTGACAGACTGGCTGGGGGCCGTCCGGACCGCCCCGCTCCCTAC